GCTTGCAGTAATGATCTCTTCCCATGCTTTTGTTACCTTTTTTTTATGTTTTAAACTATCGTTTGAGCTTAAACATCTTTTCAAAAAGGGTTTCTTAAAATCCAAACTTTTGAACTGATTTTCTAAACCCTTACTATTATGGTAACCTAATATAGAGATTTGCTTAAACCTGGTCATTATGATAGTGTTTGCTGTATTCTGGTAAGGCGAACATTAAAGTCATTCTCTTCAACTTCTATCTGTGGGATTATGTGGGTGCTATAGTATCTGATTTGGCATCCTTCTTCATGTATCAACGCCTTATTGCTTCTTCTTCATGTCTACTCTAACTCAAATCTTGCAAAATCATCACCTACTATATGAGTATACAATCTACTCTAACTTAAATTGAACTTAGTCCCCTTTTTCTGACCTTCTTTAAGTTTGAACTTAATCTCACTAGCTCGAATCAATTAGTATATAACTGAATAGGGTTTATAATATGACATTATCAAGTCAAGTCTATGTCTATCTAGGTTTATCACGATAGTTTATTATCAATTAATGAGTTTGTTGTTTGAGTATGCCTGGTTGTTGTTGCCCTATAATCTTGTCTATCTAAGTTTATAATTCAAATTTTAAATGAGTATGACCAATCTAAATTTGTGGTTAAATTTGAAGAGCCATGTTTATGGCTTAATTTAAGTTTGTGCCTTAATTTTTAATATGAGTTTATGGCTAAATTCACATTGTGAATCTTAATCTAAATTTTTAATTGAGTTTATATTTGTTGTTGCCCATATTACTGAAGCTTATTTCACAATTTCACATTATGAAGAAAAATGGCTACCACACACACCCTTAAGGAAAAGTTTGAAGCATAGGATCCTAAAAATTGCTTTGTCACCAAGTACTGAAGATGAGATGAGAAAAAAAGTCAAGCATGAAGGAGAAAGTGGAAGAAAGAGACGTAAATCAATGCTTGGGAGCATTTTGAAAGGCTGCCACTGGACAAAACAAAAAGAGAACCCCGCGTTAAGTGCAAGAATTGCTGACAATAATTGGTTGCCACTCTACAAGACTAGGACAAATGGGATGAGAAAACATATAAAAGGTGTCCCAAAAATCAAATAAAGCAAAGAAGTCGGCACAATCTCTATTCTCAAGTTCTCAACTAAGGTTATCTAAAACTTTGAGTCACCATCTATTTAATCAACTTGATTGCAAAAAAGAAATTGTGTTGTTTGCAATATTGGATCAAATGTCTTTTAATATTTGGAAGGTGATGATTTTAAAGAAATGATGACAAGGTTAGAACTTCATTTCAAGTCCCGTCAAGAGCAATAGTTAATAAGGATTGCTATAAGTTGTACTTTGAAGAAGCTAGAAAATTGAAAAAGTATTTTAAAAAACCTCTAGTTCATGTTTCCTTTACAAATGATGCTCGTACTTCAATCAAAATATAACTATATGTGCTAACTACTCACTAGGTTAATGAGCATTGTACTTACCAAAAGTAAATGCATGGTTGAAAACCATAAGAGAGATACAATTGGGTAAAAATAATTGGCAAATGAGTTTTTTTTCCCCCTTAACTATAGCCAGGCCAAAAGCTATATTTTAAAGCTTTTATGTTAGTTATGTTGAATATAACCATTAGCAGCATTTAATGCATTAAAATTTATTGAATAGTCTATATATCCTTCCACATTTCCTTTCAAATTTGATGTTTTATTATTTGTAACATGGTGTATATATATTCTTTAAATAGATTTAATTAAATTTTTAGTATTTAAAAATATTTTCTGCATTAACACACTAACTCTTTATTTTTATAATTATAATTATAATTTTAATATTTTCCTTAAATTTATCCAATTGCATGCTTATATGAGAGAGAGAGAGATACAACTCTTATCTTTTTTATATTTTTTATCGGCCCATGTCCTTTTAGTTAATTTATATTTAAGTATGCTTTTTAATTATATCATTTTAATAAGTTTTAGTTTGTCAAAAATAAATTTTAATAAAAGAGTATTCAAATATAAATTATATTACATAACTAATTATTAACTCAATTTAGTTTGCAAACTGTAAAAATGTCGTCTGCAAACAAACTCTTAATCAAGACGTTGCATGTTGAATTAAATATTAAAAAATATGGTAGAATTAATTCTTGAATATTAAAAAAATATTTCAATAGTTCTGACTCCAAGTCACACTAGAAATAATTATGATTTTAAAAAATAAATATTATAATGTTAAATTGCTCAAGAGTTAAAAGAATTGACGGGATTCAATTAAAATGGATATGGAAGTGGTCAGGGGAAGCATGAACGGGGTGAAATAAAACCAGCACATAATTTGGCAGCGTTTGTGATGGACAAGATATTGACGTCTTTGCTTTGGTCACATCACCGCCCTTTCTCATAAAGTCATCATGCTTTTTCCATTCTTCTGCGCCCATGCACCCCTTCATTCTTCACCTATACTGCATCACCACAACAATTAAGTCACTTGTATTTATAGTAAGCTTTTACTGTTTTATGAAAATTATATAATAATTCTGAAATTATATAATCTTTTAATAAAAATATAGATATGTTTAATTTTACTGTTTTAAAAAAATTCAAGAATGCTAATCTTTAAAGGTTATTAAATCTAATATAGTATCAAACTATAAGAGCTCAATTGTAATAAAATAAAATATAGAGATTTAATTTAGAATTGTCAAAAATATAAGACTTGCAGATTAATTTATAACACTATATATTCTTTTCATTTTAAATTATAAGACAATTTGATAATAGATTGCATATATAAAAAAAAAAGCTCAATAATGATACTTTAAAAAAAATTTAAATAAAAGTATAAATTTTTTTAAAAATACTTCTACACACTTCATCATCACACTATAATATCATTTCAATTCTTTTTCTATCTAAAGGGTTATATTAAAAAATTTCATTAATAAAATTTTAATTTTATCAAATTATCTTACATTTTGAAACAATGAAAAATATTTAAAGTTGTTTTATAATTTGAAATGGAAAAGTATATATATAGATAATGGTTGTTTGAGCTGATCCAAGTTCCAAGCATTGGTTAGTGCTGTATCAATTATGTTTATATTATCCTAATATGGGAGCTGAGCTCATGGAGATCCTAGAAGACATCAATCTCTGTTAGAATGTTAAACTTTAGAAATTCAATGCTTACTTAAATTCAATGAAAACTTTATCACTCATTGAGCATGACTTTTCCGAAAGACAACCATTTTCTGACATCATCAAAAATGTTAGAGAGCTCACTATGAAGGATTGGATGATCACTTTCAATTATATTTATAAAAATGCTAACAAATGAGCTAATTTGTTTGCCTAACAACCATCTTGGGACAACTTAGATATTATAATTCTTGATCATTCCTTGCCTAAATATAGAAACTTAATAGTTTTTGATATGACTTAATTTTTATCACTCCTGCACGGCCTTGTCATGGCCATGCATTTCAATATATATATATATATATATATATTTACAGCCAACTGCAAGTGGAGGCCTAACCTATATTAGAATAAGAAGCAAGTTATGCTTGGTTTCATGGCGAATTATGATACGAGACTTTTATGCTCAAACATAAATCATCGCTTCTAGAATAACTTCAAATGAAATTATAAACTGCAATTTTGTGTGAATTTTAATGTTGCGAGTCCTAACGTGCCTAACCCTTTTCTTGATCCGAGTTATTTATTTAGTTGCCCTGCACTGGAGATCCGCGTAGCCTGAACGCAACACCGAGTGATGCCTCAGCTTTCGGCACCAAACAAAAGCATTAGCGCTCTCTATATTCACATCTTTAGTAGCATTTTTTGATTCCTCTCCAAAAATTGTCCATTCCCTGCTTCACCCTTTTAATTTTGAGTTTGGTATACATCTCTTTTTAACTGCCCAGCTTTTGCATTAGCGCCATCATGGACTTGAGTTTCCAGGGATTTGCGTTGTATGTATGCGTGTTTTTTCCAAAAAGATTATTTTGTGACCGCTCAATGCACGGACCCACCACGAAGGCTACTCCACACCGATAAATTCGTCATTATGATGGATTAGAATACACACACACACACATATGTATATTTGTTCAGATAAAAAGCATGATGAAATAGCAGCTGAGTAAAATTTTCAACGCTGCCTCTCTATTCACATCAAGAAGTATCAAATTTAACTTTGATTCCTCCATCATCCTTGTTGCCCATGCCTCAGTCATGATATCATCTGCTTTGAATAAACTTAGTTAAGATTCTCTAAGACATCTCACCGGCTTTTTATTTTATCCAATAATCAAACACATGTATTTTCTTTCTTAGCAAATGTTAAATACTCCACTCAATCATATTTATAGTACATACAGAGAAAAAACACATCACTTGACTTTTTATCACAATTTTTGTATCTCATTAAATGTTGGTGAGAAAAAAAGTGTCATTAAATTATGTATATAGTAGAGATAAAATTTAAAACTTATTAATCAATTTTAAAATTTTTCTTAATTCTGCTTAGACATGTTGGAAGTGACTAATGGATAAGATAAAGTATTTTTTGAAATTAGTCTATTAAACAGTAAACACTTTCACCTCTAGAACTAGTTTGAATCCTCCTCATCTAATATGGAAAATGATAATATTAACATGGTTAATGATAAATAAAGTTTTTATTATAAATTTGGAGAGAGAATAATGCTACAAATAGATGTATATGCATGGAGGATCATAATTTTCTTGAATTCCGTTCTAAGAAAGGCACGCTAGGGAATGGGACGTAGAGAATTGCACAAACAAGAACAGCCACATCGTGACATTACAGGAAGAGAGTTTCATACAACGATGACGTGGCACACCAAAGTGGCAGACAAGGTCCCGAGGAGGGCCGAGCTGGACCAATCGCAGCCCGAACAAGAAACGATTACCTGAAACTCTGGTGGCACCTGGGCGGTAATTAACAGAGAATCCTATGTTAAAAGGTTCGTCCTTGTCAAGCTTCATGCTCCATGCCATTTCGCGTCTCTGGTCCTTTCCTTCTTCACAATTTGCGTCTGTAGCCTTATATATAGTTACACAATCTCACATGCACCTTCGCAACAACGCAGAGTTATTGCTTCCAAAATCCAACCTCATAACATAATCAGCTCCATATTCACACTTAGCCTCAAACGTACGCCATCCCCGTCTCTTCCTTTCACGGATTCAATCGAAACTCTTTCTTCTTTCTTCCTGTAATTTCCGTAGTTCATAGTTCATATTACTGTTGTGTGGGTTGAAGATGAAATGTTCTGTGGTTTTCTTTGGTTGCAGCTGGATTGGAGTAAAGGGAAACTGAGTAGCATGAGAGCGAGGTTAAGGCCCAGACCGATGCCGTTGAATATGTTTCAGGACTCGGATGAATTGTCCCGTATTATATTGACTGAACCAACTGGTTCGTCTGCAGATGTATGTAGGTTCTATGTTTCCTGTTTTGCCTAAATTTGCATGTTCAATTTGAAGCTCTTATTACGCTTTCAGTTCTGATAGTACTGTGGATGAATGATTTCAGGTACTTCTATATGGAGGCCAGATTGTTTCCTGGAAGAATGAGAAGAATGAAGAACTTCTTTTCAAGAGCAGTAAGGTAAGAAAATTCTTTGTATTTCAAGTTACCTTCCAACAATTACTCTGCCCCTTTTGTATGTAACTGTTCAGTTTGTTAAGTTTATGAAATATGGTGATTTTCTTCTCTCGCAGGCCAACTTGAAACAACCTAAAGCAATCAGAGGAGGGATATCAGTCTGCTTTCCTCAGGTTAATTAGTTGTTTTCTTTTTTGTTTCGTCAGTGGCACAGACACTTCAGAAATGAAATTCAAACTTTGTTGTGTTCCGTGTACTGTGAATGATTCTAGTTCGACTCTGATATGTTCGGCAGTTTGGGAATATGAGTTCGCTGGATCAACAAGGATTTGCAAGGAGCAGATTGTGGTCGCTGGACAGAGACCCTTCTCCTCTACCTCCATCTGACAATCACTCGTCCGTGGATCTGATCTTTAAGTCCACCAGAGAAGATTTAAAGATCTGGCCTCGAAGGTATACATGCATGCCTTCAAATAAAACTGTGAATTATTATTATTATTATTATTATTGTGTTTCTGATCTCTTTCATTGGTGGCAATCAAATACTGTAGAACTGAAACTTCTTGGTTGATTGGTTTTTGCAGTTTTGAGCTCAGACTTCGCATCACCCTCAGTGCTGGCAAGGTCGTTCTAATTCTCAGAGTCAGAAACACTGATAACAAACCCTTTTCTTTCTCCCCCGCTCTCTGCAACTACTTACGCGTATCAGACATCAGGTGTGTTCTTGTAACATTTGAAAAGAAAAATGCACTATATATTCGTATTTATGGTAACAAATTCAGAATTTAGGACCTTTTTATGGTAGGTTTATGGGTTTTAAGAGGGGGAAAAAAAATAAAAGAGCTTGTGCATGTCAAAATTTTCAGTGAAGTAAGGATTGAGGGGTTGGAGACACTTGATTATCTGGACAACCTCGTCAACAGGACGAGATTCACAGAGCAAGCAGATGCAGTTACTTTCGACGGCGAGGTAATTAACAACAAAACTCTCATCAGTAATCAAATCATGCTTCACCTACCATTTTCCACTGATGAGTGCTAATATGAACTTGTAGGTGGACAGAACCTACCTTTGCACACCCTATAAAATCGCCATCATCGACCACGAGAAGAAAAGAACCTTTGAACTGAAGAAGATCGGGATGGGAGATACAGGTTTGAGATATATATAGATCATTTTGATGGTGATGGAAATAATTAATAAAGCTTGAGTCTTTCTGACAGTGGTGTGTTTGTTTAGTGGTGTGGAATCCATGGAAGAGGAAGGCGAAGGCAATAAATGATATGGGTGATGAAGATTACGAGAGCATGATATGTTTGAGTTGTGCAGCAATTGAGAATCCAGTGGTATTGAAGCAAGGTGAAGAATGGAAGGGATATCAGGAGCTGTCCACTGTGTCGTCAAGCTATTGCAGTGGACAGTTGGATCCTCGTAAGGTCATTTATGGCTTTCACTGATCATCTTGCATGCCTTGTGCTTGCTGATTTCATTTATATATATGTGCTGAAAAATAACTGATGAGTCAGACCTGAGAAGAAATTTCAATGTATCCCATAAGGCCCATGGAAGCAGATTCTCTGTTGTGGCCTTGTGGGGACTCCAGTTTTCTCTAGACCCAGTTCGGTTCTTTCGGTTTGGTTTTGTTGATGTTGTTAGGTTGCTGTGAATAATGCGAATATCAGTATGATTAATGAGAAGCTCTGTACTTGCCCACGTGCATTTATTTACTCTCTTTGACATTATTTGAAGGGAATTTGAGTTCCGTAATTCCATTTCCATACATGAATTGCTTTAGCATCATGAATGAGTCATATATATTAGTAGAAAATAATGTAACTATTAAAAACAGCCATCATTTTTTACAAAATATAATATATCTCTTTCTTCCTATACTTATTATAAGACTTCTCAACAATTTTATATAGATTAAGACATTCTATTAAAATTAGTCATCCATTTTTTAAAAATTCAAAATTACTCTCAAAAAAAATTATTAATTAGAAAATTTTAATTAGTTAAAATAATATGTATATGGTTGGTTAGGGAATAACAAAGCCAAAAAAAAAAAAAATGATTTGGACTAGGGCTGTGCAAAAGTTTTCCAGTCCTGTTTAATCTAGTTTGACCTGAGGAGGTTCGGTCTTGTTAAAAATTGGTCTTTTAGGATTGATAAGATTAAAAAAATTCGATTATTTTTTTGGGTTGAATAGGACAGGAGGTTGGACATTTGGACCACTTGGTCCAGTATGGTCCTGTTAAATTTATTTAATAGAACTATAATTAATTTAGTAATTATTTATAATGATAAGTTAAGACTATTAATAATTTAATAAGTTTAGCTCATCGTAGTGTCAGAATAATAATTTAATAATTTGGACCATTTGGACTATAATTGGTTTTTTTTCTTGTTAAAAATTATTATGGATTTATTATGATTTTAAGTGATTTTATTATTTTAATAGAGTATATTAGGTTGAAATGGATTATTGGCGCTCACGAGGAAAAAGGAAAAAAAAAATTAAGTAAATACTGGATTGATAGGACCTGTCTTCGGTTCTATAGACTAAGTCCAATTCTATTAATCTTTGAGTTATTATTGGACTAAATCAAATTACGAGTTGCCAAATCTAGTCATTTTCATGAAAAAGACCAAACTTCAGATTAAGCCAAAGTCCAGTCTCATCCAAATCCTTTGTGCAGCCTTAATTTGGGCAAAGGATATTGTATTAAAGGGCCATAAGAAATGGTTTTATAATAATTAATAAGGACCAAATAGTGTTATTTAAAAAAATCCAAAAAAAAGATAAAATTTATGGGAGAATTTCAAATAAGGACCATAAAAAAAAAAGATAGCTACCAATGAGTTCCAAAAGAATTTGAAATTTTATTGCAGGATTTCTGAATTAAATTGAAATAAAATGGATGACTGAAAAAATCAAAATGCCCTTTTGCAAAAGGAAAAAAATGATTGAAAACTAATATTAATAAATTAACAATTAAAGCTAGAGAATTAACAACTAATGATGCTATATTTATGACAAAATGATTAAACTAGTATGATTATCAAAAAGTCATGTAATTTAATGGTGGTAAAATTAACAAGTAAAAATTAGATAATTAATAACTAATATTGGTATGATTATTGATAGGTGAAATCGGGTAATTTACAACTGATATTGATAAATTAACAAGTGAAGTAAGAAAATAAATAAATAGTGATAATGCTTTTTGCTCAAATTGAATGAACAAGCCTTGTAAAGAATTCACAAGTCAAGTTAAGTAGTTAACAAATTATGTTGACAAATTAATAAGTAAAATTATGAAATTAACAAGTAATATTTTTAAAATTATAGAGTCACATAATTAACTCGTTAATTATGTAATAAGTACTGTTAAAGAATTAACAAGTACAAGTAAGCTATAAACAAGTAAAGTTAGATAGTAATCAAGTACTGTTTTTAAATTTTGTAAAAAGACATTTCAATCTTTTCAGCCACCCATTGTATTTTAATTTAGTCCACAAATCTTGCAGTAAAATTTCAAATTTTTTTGGGACCCATGAGCAAATATCTTTCTTCTATGGTCCTTGATTGAAATTCTTCCCATATTGATTCTTTTTTTAAAAAAATAAATATAAGGTATTGATGGTGCACATGTTTGCTTCCTTTAAAATGTGCATACTTTCACAACAAGTTTTCTACTAATCATCTTCTAGCTACTACTATGAACAAAATCGAAGAATTTTTTATGTAACATTAAACGGTCACTTTTTACCATGCTTTTAGGGAGGTTACTCAATGCACAGATTGAATGACTTATCATGTTTTTTTTTTTTTTGACAATTTAGATATTTAGATTTTTGATAGCCCACCTTTTGGCTGTAAAAACTTTTTATATGCTGATATGATTTAGTTTGTCTATCTACACGGTTTTGTTGTGGCTTTCTATTAAAAACAAAAATGTTCGCACCTGTACGTTTGAACACAAGTTGTTCGAGTTCTGTTCCATGTTGGGTAATCTTAGCAAAGAGTTTACAATGAAAATTGAGGCCCAAACAATTTGGGTCGTCTTCTTCTTTTTGTTAAGGGTCTGAACTCTTGGGTTCAAAATGGGATATTTTCAGACTACATTTATAGCCCAAACAAATGGAACATGGGCTTTAATGACACTCCGACATTTCTGGATTAGTCTAAATCCAATAAAACTTAATTTTATGATTTTTGATCAGCAACTAAATTTAATTTCATGCCGAAAGAATTCTTAAATCTCACATTACCTATTATAGCCCCATAAAGTGTTTCATTTCAAGCCTAAAATATGAAGTTGCGAATAATTATTTAAATGAGAAATTCATGATTTTAATATGTGAGCTTTAAAATATTATATTTTCATAATTTTAATTAGAAAAAATTTAAAATAGTTTATTTTCTCCTTAAACTATCACAAAAATTCAAAAATTCCTATCTACTATAAAAATATTTTGATATCGTATACAGTATATTTCATATTTGGAGGCGTAGAAATACACCCCAGGTTAATTCTGATTTAATCAAATTAATTTCACGCATATCTTTGCTTCTTAAGCACTTACAAAGCTTGTGTGCCTTTTATTATGGGGGCAACACGCACAAATGCTGATGAGATGTAATTTATAAATAGTGCGACACCAGAAAGTTGTGTACTTCTCCTGTGTAAATTGTAAGACATTTTTAATAAAATTTTATTTTTAATAAAATAATTATTTATTTTTAAATTAATTTTATATTTTTATATTTATCTATATTTAATATGATATTTTACTCTAAAAAAATATAAAGTAACATATTTAATAGGGGTATTTTTTTAAAAAAATAATTATTATACTTTAATAGATTCAAAATATCTTATATTTTTAAATTGTTTATGATGAAGCAACGATCTTGGGATAAGTCAACACTAACCCATTACTCTCCCTTGTAACGCTTTCATTTCTTCGGTCTTTTAATTATACTAATTAAAAAAAAAATTATCACTACCTATATGTGTGTGCGCGGGGGGGCACTCTCCTCGCATAAAATATAAGACATTTTTTATCGGTTAATATTAGTTTCAAATGTAAGACACTTTTATAAAAAGTGAATAGAAGTATTAAATCATAAAAAAATTATATATAGATCTTGTAAAGCAAATTTAGTAAAACTTAAAAATTACAACTAGATCCTTTGAGATCTAGGTGTAATTTAAAATTGAGATAATAAAATAATAATATCCCTATTAAACACATATACATTATATTAATTAAATAATTTACAATTAGATCATCACTAATTTATAATTATAATTTTAACTTTTTATAATTTAAACTTATCAGTTTAACTATTGAATATGGAAAGTTTCAATTGTAAAAATTATAATTATAATTATAAATTATTGATGAGATAGTTATAAATAATTAATATTAAACATTATTAGTAACACATGATTGTTTGACTATTGGATATTTAAAATTATAATTATAAAAATTTGAAATTATAATTATAAAATTTTGATAAAATAGTTATAAATTAATTATTTGATTGATATAATGTATATTTAATAAGAATATTATTATTTTTATAACCTAATTTTAAATTACACTCAGGTCCCAATAGACTTGATTGTAATTTTTAAATTTTTCAGGATTTATTTATAAATAAATCTATTCTACAAGACCTACAAGTAATTTTTTCTTAAATTATTTGTTTCATGCATATATCCTTATTAATTGTATTGTAGAGAGAGATTATATAAGAAATAAAATATAGGTAATCTTGAAAAGTAGTGATATTTTTTACCCATTTGATAATACAAGGATACTTTTAAATCATAATTATTTTTCTTAATCCTTGTCAAGAAGTGTACCTTATGTTCTTGGCGGGATGAGTATTTTTCTATCTTCTTATATATGAGTAGATACATCCAAGAAAGAGAAGATAGGGATGTTGTTTATTTCTTGACCAATAGGTGAATCTCTCTTATTCTTTTTTATTTTAATAACAAGGCCACGACAAATTATGCAAAAGACAACAATTAAATCATGTTAAAGCTTAAAAAAACTCCTACAATTAAGGGATCAAGAGGCAGGTAGATAAATCTCTTGAAACTAAGCTAACATCTAGTGGCTACATCAATGACCTGTTTGGTTGTTTTTTCAATTCATTTCTTTCTTTATTTTAAATCACCAAACATGCGCCTTGTAAACAGTGTCTGCCATTGAACAAAGTATTCCAAACTAGGTTTCCCATGAAGACCACAAACAAAAGCTAAGAATATTAACGACATAGATTAACATTGTAGTGAACACACACACACGAGCCTTGATATATCCGAATAATGAGAGAGCCTTTAAAGGAAACAAAAAGGTAGAGACATGGAAGGTTTCTAGGTACCTTCTCCTACCCACTTTTGGCTTTGGCTTTATTCGTTGTGGTTATTATTATTATTATTATTTTGTGATGGTGAATTTATCTCTGTCGTTTGAACTTTGAAGTTTGGCAAATAATTAAATTAAAGAAAAATGGAAGCAGTGTGAGAAAAGGAATATGTGATAGTCGAGGGATGAACAAGTTTGTCCCTAAAACGCAGCTTCGTATTCACCAACTGCTTTTGTTTTTATCTGCGATAGTATAATGGAATAAAAGAAAAAGAAAGAAAGAAAAAGGAAACTAGTTACAAGAACTGTGATGCACATGCACGCACGTACGAGATAGAGCTGT